AAGATTGTGTCATGTCTATAGTCAATGCACTCTGAACAGCACAAAAAATTGTGGAAATATTCCTCCAATATTCAACATTATTATCAAATACAGCAAAGAAGTGAAAACTTGGGGGAGGGGACCAGGTGCCCTAGGAGATCACAGGCTCCACAGACAGCGATGAGAACCATTGGAGGCCCTTGGCTTTGTTTGTCCAGCTGGCCCCCAGGGGGAGAAAAGAGGTGACTTTCTAATACTAATGAAGCCACTGCCTGATGGAGCTTGGTCCTGTGGTCTACTTCCCAGGAACCAGCATGCAGCATGGGTTCCGAGAACCACAAAAGGATGTATGGAAGATAGAGTGAGCCCAGGAATCACCAAAGCCTCCAGAAATGGGAATGTTCAACTTTTTAAAAAAGATTTATTTGTTTGTTTGTTTGTTTATTTTAGTGGAGGAAGGGAAGAGGGAGAGAGAGAATCTCAAGTAGACTCCCCACTGCATGCAAAGCCCAATGCAGGGCTGGATCCCACAACCCCAAGATTGTGACCTGAGCTGAAATCAAGAATCAGTCACTTAACCAACTGAGCCACTCAGGTGACCTAAAGAATATCCAACTTATTTTGTGGCTCCAGGGTCTAAGCAGTGCAGAGCAATCTGTAAAGAAAGCAGGAAAATCCCACCAGCAGAAAAAAATCAACCAGCCAGGGATTTCTGTAAAATAACTTTTTTTTTTTTTTTTTTTACTGGGACTTGCAGGCTTGGAATTCAAACTTTTATTGTGAAGGGAAGATGGAATTAGACCTTGCACTTTATCCCTTTGCATCTGAAAATCACATACTGCGTACAGAGCTGGACCACATCTTTGCTGTCAGTATCTATTCAGATTCACAAATTCTCACTGGAGTCAAGTTTTCTGAAAGGAACTGGCACCCTGACAGCCTCCATACATCCCCACATCCCACTTTCATCCTTCCACATGCCCACACCGCCACCTCTGCTACCATTACCACGGAAACTCTGAGATGAGGCCAGGCTGCAGAAAGGGCAACATTTTCCTTCCCAGCCTGCAATCAACCCCCAAAAAGAGACAGAGAGAAGCCCAAGGCCATGACCTGTCCCAATATCAGCCTTCTTTAAATTGTTGGAGAGGACTGCACGGTCCTGGCCCACTATGGCACCAATGTAAACCATATCCTGACTTTGCCATCCTGGCTGTGCATGCATTTTGTGGGAAACACCTACCCAGAAGTGAACTGAAATTGCTACCAGTCTTGGGATCCATGGGACAGTCTATCTGCAGTTAACACAGAGAGGGAGGAGAGAGGGAGACAGAGTAGATATAGGGACGTCCAAGGCCAGCAATAGTGGGAATATGACCTTGAGGGAGAACCAACGGCCCTGGAATCCTAAGTGGGAAGAGCTTATGCACTGCAGTGTTGTTGGGAGAGGTATGCAGGGGGCCAAACATAGGATTACAGCAGGTAGATGAGGAGATAATTACTAACATCACCAGGGAAGTTCAGAAATATTGAGAGCAGGGCCTCCAAAAAAGTCTGGTTTCCGCAGGAACTGCATTTAAACTGGGGTATAAATGTATAGATGATAGCATTGGTCCTCACGGGCTGCTATAGTGGACAGCATAACTTTTACACATAGGAAAAATAAAATAAAAGATGTAAGATGTAAGAGAGGTTAAAAAGTAAATAAGTAGGAGATCCCTGGATGGCTCAGCGGTTTAGTGCCTGCCTTCGGCCCAGGGCGTGGTCCTGGAGTACCGGGGTCGAGTCCGGCATCAGGCTCCCTGCATGGAACCTGCTTCTCCCTCTGCCTGTGTTTCTGCCTCTCTCTCTGTGTGTGTCTCTCATGAATAAATAAATAAAATCTTTATTTAAAAAAGTAAATAAATAAATCAACGCTGATTAAGAGTCCAGATTTATACATAGGCAGCAAAGACCTGTCAAGTAAGTCAGAAATAAAAGATCATCACAAATACTTTAAGAAGTTAAGGAGGTACAGTGGAGTTGTGAGGGAGTGTGTGGTTGGGGAACTGGGTAACTAAGAGAAAATCCTGACAGAAAAAAAATTCCAGGAAGGAAATAACTTATTGTTATGAAATGATTTCTACTGCTCGTCACAACCATTTGAGTTAAAATTAAGACACGTCAAAGTAGGACTATTTCCAAAGCAATCATCCTCAGACCTATTTTGTAATACAGATAACCCAAATGGTACCCTGCTATCTCCAGAAGGTTAGGACTTCTAATTTAGGCTGCTTTCAGTGAATGGCACTTTATGTTTACCTTGCACTTTCTATGGAGTTGCTCATAACGCGCAGATACTTGAGCCCTCACATAAACGGCCGTGCAGTCCAGCCACGCTTCGGAATCCAGCAGACGAGGAGCTGGAGAGGTCTTTTTTTCTGCTGACTGTGGTCATGCATGGCTGGATGATTTATGGACAACACCAGCAGCCACATCCATATCTCAAAGTCATTAATTACCAAGAGGAGGACTCCGCCCAGAGCCACTCAGAGGATAGAAAATCCTCAGAGGATGAGTCTGTTCAAATAATCAGTCATTTTTATCACATTCTGATTTCTCAGTTCACCTTTCAAATGTAGGCTCTTTTCTCCAGTCCAGAGGGAACATCGGGAATGGTCCTGAGATTTTTCATAATGTTAACATCTGAATGAAAGGACCAGATGTGATCTTAGAAGGAAGGGAAGTAAGACCAGGGAGAAGGCTATGGATTAAGGAAATGTCCCAAATTTCAAAGCGGTATGTGCTAGAAATTGCCATTGGTAAGCTTGGTTGCAAACCCCAGGTAAATTCTACAACAGATAACTGAAGAGATGGGCTTAAAACTCTAACTAAAGAAAGAAGCCAGGGCAGCCCGGGTGGCTCAGCGGTTTAGCACCGCCTTCAGCTCAGGGTGTGATCCTGGAGACCTGGGATCAAGTCCCATGTCAGGCTCCTCTGCCTGTGTCTCTGCCTCTCTCTCTCTCTCTCTCTCTCTCTCTGTGTGTGTGTGTCTCCCATGAATAAATAAATAAAATCTTAAAAAAAAAAAAAGCCAGCATGATTCCTAAGGGTAAGAAATGCCATATTAGACCCTATTTCTTTTGATGAGCTTAATAAGATGTGTCACAACTTCTATCATGCTACGCTTTTCTACAGGAAGGAGAAATGTGGGCCTGGTAACCACCAAGATAGACTAAGTAATGAGTCTATGCAGACTCAGTAATGAGTCAGTAATGGGAGCCAGTCCCTGAGGAGCCAGTCCCTGTGGTCCTATCCTTGCAGCCATTCATTCAACCCAACAAAAAATTCACTAATTCGGCACGCACTCATAGGGCATAGATTTGGCGCAGGGCACTCTTCCAAGCAGGGGAGAGAGAGACATTGCTCAATCTCTGTTCTCACAGGGTTTAGAATCCAGTGGTGGGAAAGGACAAGTGCACGAGTAACCACAACACAAGCCAGAAAAACAAAGTCACAATAACGAAAGTACCAAGTGCCCCCAGGGGGTGGGGATGGATGGAGACAAAGGTCCCTTCTGGTTAGAAGATTAAAAATGCTTTGCATGAGAGGTGGCATTTGAGGTAGAAGTTGAAGGGAGAAGGAACAGGGGACAATGAGGAAAGGCATTTGCCCCACACAGCGCGAGTAGAGGCACAGAGCAGGAAAAAAATTACATACCAGGTCCAGTCTGGTTGTAGCAGGGAGACTAGAAGGGGGAGTTAGCACTGCTGTGGGGCCTTCCTCTCGCTGGGAATTAGCCACCAGGTGTCCTTGGTGGGTAGGCGATCCCTGGGTTTGGGAGTCATAGACTGACTTTGGATCCTGCCACGGCCACCCCTTAGCCATGAACTTGAGCAAGTTACAGATGAGCTGCCTCATCTATAGACTGGATGTGACTGTAGTGCCGACCTCAGAGGGTCGCTCTGGGGATTAAATGAGATGCCGAGTACCGTGGAGACTGGCATGGAGTAAATGCTCCCTAATTGCAGCTGAATAAAGCCCAGAATTAAACTGGAAGCTGCTCAGCCTTTGCAAATTTTACCTGGCAGTGTGGGATAGCCTTGATTAGAGCAAGTAGCAGAGCAGAAAATAATGTCTTTCTAATATCTGGCCTCCATCTAGTTCAGCAGGGAGCACCCAGAGGCTGAGCCCAGGTAGGCAATAGACCTAGCCAGAGACAGGCAAACTGCCCCACGGGGAGAACCCGAGAGTGGGGCAGGCACTTACAGAATTTGGCAGGTGACTGGATGTGGGGTCTGAAGACACAGCAGAAGAACATTAGGGGACTCCAAGTTTCCAGCCTAGGTGATCAGCTGAGGGGTGGTGGTCTCATCCAAACCAGCGGGAAAGTCAGGAGGGGTGTGAGGAAGAAACAGAGAAAATAATATAGAGCTCAAAAGAGGGCAGGATCAGTGAAAGCCTGGAATCAACAGTTTGGAAGAAGCAAGGAAGCGCGGAGGTGTGGTCATCCTCCCAGATTTGGAATTCTGGGGCAGGAGTGAGGGAGGGTAGGAGGGGTCTTCACCTCTATAGGAGGAATCCCACAGAGACCAGGGAATATGCTGAAGGTTTTTAGATGATGCTAAGCTGGGAGAGTGGCTAATGTAAAGATGACCAAGTTAGGATTCGAAGTTTTCTTGAAAGGCTGGCTAGAATTGTGGGCCGGAGCAAACAACAATAATAGCTAACTCATATATCAACTCCTTTAACCTTTCTCATAGGGAGGATACTATTATTAGCCTCATTTTAAGATAAGGAGATTGAAACAGAGAGGTTAAGTAACTAAACCAAGGTCACACAGCTAGTAATGGCAGATCTGGGATTTGAACAGGAAGTCAGGTTTCAAGGTCCATACTCTGAAAGGAAGGAAGGGAGGGAAGGAAGTGGGTAGGGAGGGAAAGAGGAAGAAAGGAAGGAGGGAAGGGAAGGGGCGGGAAGGGAAGGAAAGGAAAGGAAAGAAAAGGAAAGGAAGGGAGACAAGATGAGAAGAGAGGAGGGGAGGAGGAAACTGGTCATGATGGAGTATTCACAACGTGCCAGACCCCAAATTCCACCTGAGGGAATGCTTACCAAGCTAGAAGACCTGAAAGGAGGTAAGGCAATTTAAAGTACATCTAACAGATAAAGATGACAGTGTGGTGGAGACTGTACTCCAGGGCTGTGAGAGGTACTGAGGACGAGGCCAGAAGCTAAGTTTTCCCTGCTGCCCCTGCTCCTGTGTAAATTACTTCTTATTCTGGTGCTGATGAGAAGTCTTCAACTGTTTCTGTGTGGTAGACGCACATTTTTTTTCTTTTTAGAGAGAGAGAGCATGCGTGTGTGCAAGCCTGGGGTGGCAGGGGATGGAGGGGATGGGCAGAGAGACACAATCTCAAGCAGACTCCGCACGGAGCGTGGAGCCCCACACGGGACTCGATCTTACCACCCATGACATCATGACCTGAGCCAAAATCAAGAGTCAGATGCTTAACTGACTGGGCCACCCAGGTGCCCCTATAGAGTCACATTTCTGTCCATAAAGACCTTGGTCTCCAAGTTTGCCTGTTGACTCTGCTAGCTGTTGTGTGTGATATGTGTGAGGCTCTGCATGGTGAGTGGTGTGTATGTGTGTGTGTGTAATATGTGTGTAGTTTGGTGTGGGGCCTGCATGGTTGTATATGGGTGTGTGGGTGTCTACATGTGTACCTGAAGGGTGAATGTGAGTCTGTGTATGTGTGTGAGAGAGAGAGATGTGTAGAGGTACCTGCATGGTGAGGATGGTACAGATGTGTAGTCAGCTTAGAACCATCTGCGTCTACATGTGTGTGCCCACCTAGCATGAGTATTCTAGTGTGAATCTGCTCTAGAATTCTAGCAGAGAGATGCCTGGGTGGCTCAGCGACTGAGCATCTGCCTTCCGCTCAGGGCATGATCCTGGGGTCTTGGGATCCGGAGATTGATTCCCACATCGGGCTCCCTGCCTGGAGCCTGCTTCCCCCCGCCTGTGTCTCTGCCTCTCTCAGTGTGTTTATTCATGAGAGACACAGCGAGAGAGAAACACACACACACACACACAGAGAGAGAGAGAGAGAGAGAGAGAGAGAGAGAGAGAGGCAGAGACACAGGCAGGGGGGAAACAGGCTCCATGTAGGGAGCCCGATGTGGAACTCGATCCTGGGTCTCCAGGATCACGCCCTGAGCAGAGGGCAGACATTTAACCCCTGGGCCACCCAGGCATCCCAAATAAATAAAACATTAAAAACCAACAAACAAAAACTCTGCCGGTCCTAACTTGAATCTGGGATAGAGGCTGTCAGTGGGATAACAGGAGTTATTTTCCCAGATGATATAAATGGATTCCAGATAATTCTATAATTGTGTCTGCTGGTCCCTCTTTGTGGCTTCACCGCCTGCCAAGCCCATGCCCCTGACTCTGCATTCCACTTAATTCCTTCCCCCCTTGCTTCTCCTTTCTCCGCACTCACAGCTTGGAGACAGACTCCAGGATTTCTTCCCAGGGCACAGAGTGGGAGAAGAGCACGTTCGGAGGGAGCAGATAGGTTGAGTCCAGAGCTGAGGGCTCAGAGAAGGCGTTGAGTCAGGGCTGAGCAGCCAGTAGGCTGGAATTAGTGGGCAGGGACAGTCATGAGACAGATGGACTGCCTGGAACCCAAACAGTAGCCAGGAGAGCAAAGTGAGGGGTCTGAGGTCCAGGTTTGAACAGGACAGAGGGCATCAGCTGATCTCCGGGAACTGGGAGGTTAGGCACAGCAGTCGAAGAGCCCAGAGCTGGGGCCCAGAGCCAAGGAAGGATCTGGACACAGCAGAGAATCAGTTTAGTGGGGACACTGATAGGAGTCCTACCAAGTGGGCCGAAACCCCCCAATAAGCCTGGTTCAGTGTATGCGGGTGGGTTAAATAAGAACTTCTGACTGTAGTAAGATAGAAAACAGCCTTCATTTCCTTTTCCCCCCTTGCCAAAGGTCCACATTTTGTGTTCTGGAGAAAAGTCAGTTTCCCAACAGGATAGCCGGTCTGGTTTTTATACATGGACCATATTTGGTACACATGAACCAAAAATATTGATCCAAAGAAACTAAGCTAAAGGCAGGACTTGCTCTCAGATGCCCCAGCCCCCACCACTTAGCTTTCTGCCTGGATTTAGCAATCATTCCTTCCCCCAGGGATTAGGTGGCAGCCCTCAGGTCTGCTTAGGACCCTTTAAAATATCAATTTAGGGATGTCTGGGTGGCTCAGAGGTTGAGCACCTTCCTTTGGCTCAGGGCATGATCCTGCGGTCCTGTGGTCCTGGGGTCGAGTCCCACATTGGGCTCCCTGCATGGAGCCTGCTCCTCCTGCCTGGGTCTCTGCCTCTTTGTGTATCTCTCATGAATAAATAAATAAAATCTTTTTAAAAATCAATTTAGATGGAGAATTACATACTCATTATATTAACTCTAACATATATTAATACATTATTTAAACATAATATAACACTAATACAACATATATAACAGTTACTACTTGAACAGGTGTTCCCTTCTAGGGCAAGGACAAATTCTGTTTATTGCTGTACTCCCCAGTGCCCAGCACAGAGCCCAACAGTTGTCCAAAAATATTTAAGTCAGTAGCGAATCAGGAAGATTGGTGTTTAAATATTTCTTTCTCTTTTGACATGTTCCCAGAATCTCAGATCTCAAAGTGGAAATGACTTTAGAGATTACCTATTCTATCTTCCTAGCCAGTGCTCGGATTATTTATACCACCATTTTAGCAGAGAATCACCAGCCTCCCCTGGATACTTCTAGCCAGTTATTTTATTTATTTATTTTTATAAATAAAATAAAGAGAGAGAGCATGTGCATAAGATCGGGGAAGAGGAGTAGGAAGAGAAGGAGAGAACATATGCAACTTCAGAATATCGGGGGGCAGGGGACTAATGCCCTCCTCGTTCTGATGTTCTTATGCTATTAATGGCCCCTGAGATTGCATTAATCTTTCCATCTGCTCTGCAAGCAGCTTTCTCTGTCTCCATGCAGGAGTGCTCAGGGATGTCCTTGACACCTCTGGTCCCTCTCAAGGTGCCACATTGCTGCTTTACCAGTTCTACCCCTAGATATCTTCCTCATCTGTTCCCACTGCCATCCCCTTGGCTCAGGTTCTAACATGAAATACAGCAGGATCTTTCTAAAATGCAGGCCCCCATGGGGCACCTCCAGCATACTGTTTGTCCAGAAACTGTCCTTTGAGTGTGTCTCCTTTAGGATGAGAGGTAGTCTAAGTAATGGAATCTGTGCAGGGGAGACTCAATAGAGCTGATTTGTCGCATGTATGGTCAGTTGGGCAATGAGCAGAGGGGCAGTGAACCCTGTGAAAAATAAACCTGAACTCTCAGTGGGTTGAGCATCTGCCTTTGGCTCAGGTCATGATCCCAGGGTCCTGGGATCAAGCCCGTGTCAGGCTCCCTGCTCAGCGAGGAGTATGCTTCTCTCTCTCCCTTGGCTTGTGCTCTTGCTCACTCTCTCAAATAAATACATAAAATCTTAAAAATAAAATAAAATGCAGGCCTTATCGGTATTCTCTGCTCAAAATGTCTCAATAGCTTTCCACCTCCTCCAAGACAAAGTCTTAATTTTGTCATAGAGCTTCAAGGTCCCTTTCTTAATACCTGCAGATTGGTTTTTCCCAGCTCCCTGAACAACTTCTGTTTCCAGCCATTGCACAATGCTGGCTCTTCCCCAGGCACGGGTTCCCTCCTGCTTTGAGGCCTTTGCTTTGTGTGCCAGACATTCGCTCTAAATGCTCTATGCAAATTAACTCGCTTAATTCTCATCACCACCCGCTGAAGGAGATGATATTCCCATTCTACAGATGGAGGAGCTCATGTGTCAAGCATTTCGCCCAGAGTCATGCAGTTAATGAGTTGTAGAACTGGATGAGTCCCATAGCCTGAAATGCCCTCTCTTTCTCCTTGGCAAACTTCCATCCATCTTTCAAGACCGATCAAGTGCTATTCTGGGAAGTCTGCCTACCCCATGAACTTTACCACCAGATAGCACTTATCATTCCGAGCTAATTGTTTGCTAAATGACTGTCAGCAAATCCACTGAGGATAGGCTTATGTCTTTTCCCCACTGAGTCCCCAGACCTAGATTCTGTGCCAGGAATCTAATGAAGGCTTTGATGAAGGCACTCATTAGTGAATAAATGAATTAACTGTTTGCAGTGTTCCTTCGTAGTTATAATATGGCATCACAGCAATTTGCCAAATTGTCAACCTTTGGTAATCAATTTTTCCTGTAATACATACAAAAATCTGGCCAAAGCCTAATTGTAAACCAGCTGGCTCCTGAATGCCAGCTTAATTATCCCGAGTTCAGTTTAAGAGCAATAGAGCTTTCTGAAGTGCTCTGGAATTACCTAAAAATGCACAGCACCAGGACGTTTTGAAATTACTAGCTCCAGCGTACTGTTTGCCCAGAAACTGTCCTTTGAGTGTGTCCCCTTTAGGATGAGAGGTAGTTTAAGTAATGGAATCTGTGCAGAGGAGACTCAATAGAGCTGATTTGTCGCATGTATGGTCAGTTGGGCAATGAGCAGAGGGGCAGTGAACCCTGTGAAAAATAAACCTGAACTCTTTCCACACAAAATATTTACCAGGAGAAAACAAGTACTGAAGATCAGATAAGCATGCAAAGCCCTAAGGAGAAGCAAAATAGCAAAGCCCTTGCCTCGCTCACCTATCTTTGCAAACACCAAAGGAGCTAGTATCCATACTGAATTAACTATACTTAATTTTTTGCATTCTCAGTGCTCTGGCATCCACGGCCTCACTGTGACAGGTCGGGGAAAGGGAGACCACCCTCCCACAGCTAACCAATTCTCAGAGATAACAAACAAGTGCATCTCTCATATGCAAATCAACAACTCCAAAGCCCACATCCCCTGCTACCTTCTTTGTCAAGCCTTCTGGCGGTGAGCCTCTCACTCAGCCCTAATCAGCGGGGCCAAGTAGAGGTGATTTAGGACAGCCCCACCACCCCAGAGCCCGCTGAGATTATTCAGGCTAGCCAATCCTGAGCCGGCTGAGCCTGATTCCTCTGCCTCACTCACTCCTTCTCAGGAAAGCCACAGTGAAGGCATTTGGCAGGTTCCCCTCTCCTTCCCACCTCCCAGCTGACTCTGGCGCTTCCCCAGTGGTCTGGGGTAGGAGCCATGCCTCTTGCTTCTAGATATCGGTGAGTATAAAAACTTCCTTCATGAGAGCATTTTGTGTCTGTGTGTCTTACCATCCCTGATTAAAACAAATTCCAAGTACATTTTTTTTAAAGATTTTATTTATTTACTCATGAGAGACACACAGAGAGGTAGAGACACAGGCAGAGGGAGAAGCAGGCTCCCCACAAGGAGCCCGATGCAGGAATTAACTGTTAATTAATCCTCGATTAGTCCTAGATCCCGGGACCCTGGGATCACAACCTGAGCCCAAGGCAGATGCTCAACCACTGACCCACCCAGGTGCCCCTCCAAGTACATTTTAAAACAATACTAGTCTATTTCATGTAATGGGACTATTTTCCTTGATCTTTCCACAAACTTTTGAAGTATTAACTGGATACCCTCCTCCTTTTCCTCCTCATCCTATAGATAAGGGAAACGGTGAATTTAAGTGACTTACACAAGGTCATACAAAAATTAGTGGCAGTTTCCTGGTTAACTGTAAGGTCACTCCCCAAACAGCAGGGCATAGGAGAAATATACAATTCTGGAATCATGGTATCATTTCCTGTCCTGTTTCCTGTCAACTGTTTCTGCCAGAAATGGCTAATAATGACCTATTTTCACCAAGCAATAGGAGAAGCTGAAGTCAGACCTATATTAATTAATATTAATTAATGCTGTAGAGTTAGATCTCTTTTCCCTAAATGTACTTATAAAATCTGGACTAAAGCGGGCAGGAGATACTCTATAAAAAAAAAAAAAAAAGTACAAAAGACCAAGAAAAACAGCTCTGAGAAAATCATGCACACATTTGAGTATATGATAAACTGATTTATTTTCAACAAAACCTGTATAAATGCATTTTAAAAATTAGCGGGGTGCCTGGGTGGCTCAGTCGGTTAAGCAACTCCCTTCAGCTCAGGTCATGATCCTGGGATCCTGGGATCAAGTCCCCCTTCCGCTCCCCTCAGCAGGGAGTCTGCTTCTCCCTCTGCCCTTCTGCCCAGCTCATGATATCTCTCTCTCACTCTCTGTCTCTCTTAAATAAAATCTTTAAAATAAATATATAGTGGCAGAGCTGGGACTTAAACACAGCTTTGGGAGCTAGTACAAAATGCTGAACATTTTCCCCCAGAATCTGTAGGTGACCATACAGAGTTATAAATATGTTCCTCCATGAGCCCAGTGACTTCATCCATATAATGGGGCTATAGAATATCATCTTTGTGATAAAAGTAATGTGAAAGCACTTTGTAAAATGTGAATGTCGTTCAAGTCAATATATTAAACTGTCAAGTTGTTCCTAGTCCTCAGAGTTAGCAATATTTGAGGAAACTTTTGTCCTTTTTTTCTGCCCAGTGTATGAACACAGCTTTGGTTTGGTGAAGCTCTACCTCCTTAAGTGGAGCACAAAGAGAGGCTGTTCTCCCCATTTCCAGCAGATGCATCGTGTGACTGTTGCAACGAACAGGCCCACATCTGTGGTGAGAACCTACTTCTAAATGCAGCATGGCCTCACCGTAGGAGGTACGCTAATCCTAAGTATAAATAGCGTGAGTCTGATGAGCACAGTATTCTTTGCATCATTATAAATATATCACAGGGTTCAGAGGCTGCCTTCTACTGGCTTCACATTCCAGGAAGCAGCTACTGTAGTCTCAGTTGGAAGCAGGTTTATGGAACAGAAGTAATGTTCATCTGCCTACGACTGAGATGTGAACTCTTACGCACTGAAAGATATATTCACAGTAATGAGAGCTACCCTCCATGGTGAGCGTCTCTGCCTGGCATTGTATAAGACATTTGCCTATGTTGTATTGTTTAATCACCATTTAGCAGGTAAGAAAACTGAAGCAGAGGGAAATTAAGGCCTTTAGTTAGTACACTTTGAGTCCATTAGAGTCAAGTTCCAAGCTCTAATCAGGAAGGATTTCTCAAAATTTTAATCTGCATGGGAGACAGACACCTGGAGATGTTAAAATGCAGACTTTTTTTTAAACTGCAGATTTTGATTCAATAGGTCTGTGTATTCAGAGCCCGAGATTCTTTCTAGCAAGTTCTTAAGTCATACAGATGCTGCTGCTTTGAGGACCATACATTAAGAAGCAAGACTCTAGGGGATCCCTGGGTGGCTCAGTGGTTGAGCGTCTGCCTTTGGCCTAGGGTGTGATCCTGGAGACCCGTGATTGAGTCCCATATCGGGATCCCTGCATGGAGCCTGCTCCTCCCTCTGCCTGTGTCTCTGCTTCTCTCTTTCTCTCTCTCTCTCTCTCTCTGTGTGTGTGTGTGTCTCTCTTGTGAATAAATAAATAAAATCTTAAAAAAAAAAAAAAAAAAGAAAAGAAGCAGGGTGCCTTCGGCCCAGGGTGTGATCCTGGAGTCCCAGAATTGAGTCCCGCATGGGGCTTCCTGCATGGAGCCTGCTTCTCTCTCAGCTTCTCTCTCTGTGTGTCTCTCATGGATGAATAAAAAAAAAAATAAAAAAAAAAAAGAACAAGCAAGACTCTAGGTCATTATGTGTCTTGAAAAATGCCTCTTGCACCTCATCATAAAAAATACACATGGCTCTTCTCCGTTTAAGCACTTCTCCAGAAATGTTGCCCTTTGCCAGAGCTTGGTGACACAACAGGAGATCCCCTCTGTCTCTGTTTAATGTTACAATTTAACTCCATGAAAATTTTCTTCCATTTGTTCAATCCGCAAACCTTTATTGAGTGGCTGCTAGGAGCCAGCCAGAGCGGTGGGTACTGAGGATACCAGGATAAATAAGATAAGGTCCTGGCCCCTAGGAGACTATTAGGGAGACAAGCCATTCTGAAATCTCCAGTGCTTACATTAAAAAACACTCTGCAGCCTACAGACAGATTTCTAAGTCCAATCATGGGTGCTTTGGCTCTAGCACCCACCTTCCCCACAGCACAGGCACATTTCAGTGCTAAACCTTCCATTTCTCTTGGCATAGAGACAATTCTGTGGTGTCTCATCTTGTCCAGATTCTACTGTGAAAATACAATTCACCGATCCTGCATCAATATGCATTTAAAATTATGCCATTTTTTTTTTGCTGGGACAAAAACATGTTGAATTTGGAGGGTGAAAACTGCCAAAGACAAAATTTGAGTTTTTCTATATGATTTTAAATAGCTTTCTAGGCACAATGAACATGGCAAGAAAATAAGTCTAAAATTAAAATTAGCTTTAATTAATAAAATCAAATCTAAGAAAGCAGTCAGAATCTTAGCAAATGGACACCTCTCCCGAGATGAAAGGTAAATGCTTTCCAAGAGTGCCAAGGTCTACCAAATGTGTTATTTGGTTTTTGTTTTTTTCCAAATGTGTTATTTGTAAAATATTTTGAAAGGATTGAAATTATTAGAGTCAATTTTCCCTCACTGGCAAGGTCATTATTTTCATTTATTACTGTTGTTTGAGATTTATTTACTGTTACTTAATCACAGACTAAGGCACACATGTCAACTAGCAAGAAATTTAGTTATGACGTCCCATGGCTCCCAGCTGTTCCCTATATATGACTAAACACCATAAAAAACTTCTTTTCTCTATGGAATTCCATTCCTTTACCCCCATATGGCATGGCTATTAAGGGGATGGGGGGGGGGGAGATAGGGAAGGATGAGAGAAGAAGATTCATGTTCCTCTAGGCAACCAGCATCATCTGACTGCCAGCTTCCAGAATAGTGTTTGGTTTCATTCCAGTGAAATCCTGGCACCTTTACTTGGCCATTATTCATTGAGTCATTTGAGGTCATTTAAACCTATCTCCACCCAGATGCAGATAAGATTCTAAACAGAAACACAGGAAGCCAGCTAAGATAATAGATAACGGGCAAAAAAGAAGGGCTAATCTCATGAGCAATTATCTTAGAGGAGCCTTTTATAGTTCTAATTCTTCCCTGAACTACAGTAAGGTGGTGAAGCATTGCAAAGCCCTCAAACTGAACCTCAGGTTGACAGGTATTTCAAGGGACTCTTGGAGTCCAGCTGTCTCGATTTACAGAGAAAGAAATTTATGAATGAGACCCAGAGAGATTCATTTGCAAAGTCAAGATCTTGCAGCTAGTTAATAAAAGAGTCAGAGTTTCAGGGCGCCTGGGTGGCTCAGTCAGTTTAAGGGTCTGGTCTGCCTTCAATTCAGGTTGTGATCTCTGGGTTCTGGGATGGAGCCCTGCAGCAGGCTCCCTCCCTGCTCATTTGGAGTCTGCTTTTCCCTCTCCCTCTGCCTGCTGTTCTGCCTACTTGTGTGCTCTCTCTTTCTGTCAAGTAAATAAATAAAATCTTTTTTAAAAAAAATGTCAGTTTGAAGTGTGATCCACTGATCAGTAATTCAGTGATTTTTGTTGCCTGAGTCCTTGTCCTAAATCACTCAATTCACAACACTGTGGCCTTCCTCCATGAGTACAATTTTGCCCTTGTCAGGAACCATCTGTCTCGTTCATTATTTTGGTGTTCAGCTATGTTGCAAATATCTAGCCAGAGACCACTATGTGCCAGGAGCTCAAGGAGAACCTCACAGTTCAGGTCCCTGTCTTTGAGGTAACCGCAATGCAGCTTCGGTCCCTCCTTGTAGCAATGCTTTCTGGACCCAGCCTTCTGTGTCAGAAATCACTGCTTTCCTCCCTAGGAGAGACTCTTTGCTTTCATAGTTGAAATATCCCTATTTACAGTGACACAAAAGAAGAACAAGGGATGCCTGGGTGGCTCAGCGGTTGAGCATCTGCCTTCGGCTCATGGGATCCAGGATTGAGTCTCCCATCAGGCTCCCTGCGAGGAGCCTGCTTCTCCCTCTGCTTGTGTCTCTGTGTCTCTCATGAATAAAATAAAATCTTTAAAAAGAGAAGAAGAAAGAAAGAAAGAAAGAAAGAAAGAAAGAAAGAAAGAAAGAAAGAAAGAAAAGAAAGGAGAAAGAAAACTCAAGTAGCTTGCAGGCCATGATGGAGATGGAATTACAAGTGTCCCTAGGGTGTCTTCCTGGAAATTCATTCCATAGAACTGTAGTCAAAGAGGGTCTGTACTTTTCACCGTAATTATAAATGTTCCCTGTCCAGAGAGGTGCTGGCTTACATCAAATCTTTAAAGGCTCTAGGGATGGAATGCCTGGGTGACTCAGTGGTTGAGCATCTATGCCTTTGGCTCAGGTCGTGATGCTGGGGTCCTGGGATGGAGTCCCGCATTAGGCTCCCCACAGGGAGCCTGCTTCTCCCTCTATGGCTCTGCCTCTCTCTGTGTGTGTCTCTCATGGATAAATAAATAAAATCTTTTTTTAAAAATAAAGGCTCTAGGGATGCCTGCGTGGCTCAGTGGTTGAGCATCTGCCTTTGACTCGGGTCATGACCCCAGGGTCCTGGGATCAAGTTCCACACTGGACTCCCTCCAGGGAGCCTGCTTCTCCCTCTGCCCATCTCTCTGCCTCTCTGTGTGTCTCTCATGAATAAGTAAATAAAATCTTTTTTTTTTAAGATTTATTTATTTATTCATGAGAGACACAGACACAAGCAGAGGGAAAAGCAGGTTTCCTACAAGGAGCCTGATGTGGGACTCGATCCCCAATTCCGGGATCATGTCCTGAGCCAAAGGTAGACACCCACCCGCTGAGCCACCCAGGCATCCTGTAAATAAAATCTTTAAAAAAAAAAATCTTTAAAGGTTCTAGGCACTGCTAACCTAAATGTGTCACTGAAACACCACAGCCATCCTGAGGTATCTAAGGGAGGTAGCCACAAGAAGGTATGACTCTGGCAATGAAGTTACATAACCAGCAAGGCAACAAACAAACCAAAAACCTGGCAGCCCAGAAAGATTTTCTGTTTTTTTTTTTTTTCTTTCAAGGAGGCTTAATCTGGCCTAAGTCTAAGAAGATTTGTCTCAAATTGACATCATAGGCTTAAATAGTTTATTATTTTAAAGTGCAATATAGCCATTTTCATTCCTCGCTGGTTTCTGAGTTCTGTTCTCAATCTGGAATTTTTGTGACATCTGAGAGCCTACTGGCATCAAGGCTTTCCCGATACCCCGATACCCCCGTTGTTATGTTTTCAAACAGGAGTAAAGGAAAAGCAACCAGCATCGTCAGCAATGATTCCATGTGAATAAGGAAATCCCAGTGTGAGCCCCGGTTTCCTCCGGAAACATGAATCAGTGCTCCTGATGTTGAAAATAGATTTCTGCAGCAAGCTGTTTATTTTATAAAGATTGTGATTCAGGATGAAGAATGGGGAGATATTATGTTAAATTAATTTTACACTGACAAAGCATTGTCAGTGGACCACGTTTTTCAGATTGCCTCTCATGTGCAGGGTACAGCAGATATAGAAACCATGATCATTAATATAGAAAAACAGAATTAGCAATAAAATTTTAAGGGGGCAGGGATGATTTGGAGTACCATAAACTATATAGTAACTATAACCTCTTACTCGCTGTTTTCTAAGATGCATTTGGGGAAGTAGCTATTGGAGCCATACAGAAATCTACCACGGTTCTTTAGTCTACTTTGGAGCTAAGGCTGAATGTTAATTTTTCAAATAACTGAGTTTTATTAGAGAATAAAGAATAAAGGATGATAAGACAAAATATTTTTTTTAAAAAAGATGAACCCAGTAGAGGTGTCCTAGCTGGCTCAGTCAGTAGACCATGTGACCTTTGATCTCAGGATTGTGGGTTCAAGCCCCATATTGGGTATGGAGATTACTTAAAAATAAAGTCTTAAAAATTTTGTTTTCTCCTTTAAAAAAAAAATCATGAACCCAGTAAAGAACAAAGAACTACACTTACCCACATGACATATCTTCTACTTGCTGCCCAAGATGGGAGTGGGCCAAAGGGGGCCATCCAGAAGGAAGAAATATAGGGACATGCAGAATGACACTACTGGTGGCCATAACACTTTTTTCCTTTTACAATTTCACATTGTACCTAGTGAAACCTCCCATAGGAGAAGGAGCAGTTCTGAAATATCCCAAAGTAAGTTTACAAGTTGGAACCGAAAAGAAATATAGCGCTAGTTCTTCAAATGGGTGCTTAGGAGAGTCATTCTTTGAGGGCCTAGGTGGGGTCTCCAAGCTCCAACATTTCTGTTGATTATCATTAGGATTCTCCTGGTATTCTCTCTTTATCCTTTGTCATGCACTACACACTAATGACATGAATACGTGACTCAAGATCCCAGAAAATATTATGCTTTAGTAACTTCCTAGTTAAAATTTTCTTTCATTTTCTTTACTGGGGCCAAGGTACAGTTTTGCCATTTGGTGTGAAAAGACTATATTTTATAAAATACCAGAGGCAATTTCTAACATAATAAACCCACAACTTATGGCAGATTTGTAAACACCTCAAATAAGCAGAAAGCAGAGGTAGATAGTGATTCTTATAATGACATAAAAGCAAATAGCTGTTTCCCTGGAGGTAACCTGAAGTATGAAAATGCCTTTAAAGAAAAAAAAGAAATTCCGTCTGTAAGATACATATACTTGTAATAGAGTTTCTAACATGTATAACGATAAAAGCTTGCTTACATATCTTTTGAAAAAAATAAAACCAAGTGACAAAAAGGCAGAGTTCAGGCATTTTCTTTCACTGACTACTTTTAAAATTCTTCTTGCTCTGCTATTGTACCATTAAATATTATTTTTAAAAATAGAAACCCCTCTATAAACATTTTTTTCCTCAGTACTATCCCTCTGAGATGCTTCTATCACCCTAAATGTATGTATATGTATATGTGGATGTACTTCGTGCTCAGATGGCCTGAGGAAATCTAGGAATTTGGGATAACATATTTACTGATGACATGTGTGTATGTATGTATGTGTGTGTGTGTGTGTGTGTGTGTATATATATATACTATATGTATATATACCTGTCTGTAAGATTCACCTATGATGTGAGGAAATTGGAACTAGCCTTTAAAACAGTCGCTTCTGGGAGTGGCTAGGCGCCTCAGTCCCTTAAGCAGCTGACTCTTGATTTCAGCTCAGGTCATGATGTCCAGGTCCTGGGATGGAGCCTGACCCCCAGGGCTCTGCACTCAATGGGGAGTCTGCTTGAGATTTTCTCTCTCCCTCTGTCCCTCTTCACACCCCCCACCCTGTACTCTCTCTCTCTCTGTCTCTCAAATAAATGTAATAAATCTTTAAAAACGAAAAAGTTGGGCAGCCCAGGTGGCCCAGCGGTTTAGCACCACCTTCAGCCCAGGGCCTGATCCTGGACACCCGGGATTGAGTCCCACATCGGGCTCTCTGCGTGGAGCCTGCTTCTCCCTCTGCCTGTGTCTCTGCCTCTCTCTCTCTCTCTCTCTCTCTAATCTCTCTATCTCTCATGAATGAATAAATAAAATCTTAAAAAAAAAAAAAAGAAAGAAAAAAAGAAACAGTCACTTCTGCCCCCCGTCCCTTGGAGTCTATCATTCGCATTAGGTATTTGTAAAAGATCCATGAAATTAACTTTCCTTTGCCATATAAAATACATGATTTAATTCTTTCAGCCCACATTCATACAGTCATCCCTCCTAGGCAATTCCTGGCACTTTTAATGAAGCACTCAGTCTTCACAGAATCAACTGTATGCAGCTGCTTCTGCACAGTGAGGGGAAAAGTGACATTTTACTTCCACCCCAAACAAAGCCATTATATTTACCTTCTACTTTGAAGATAGTAAAGTGCGGTCGGCAATGGAAAGAACCCAACGCGTTACCTGCGCAGTTCATCCACAGACCCTGGTAAACCCAAGTGGCGGTTATCACCGATGATGCTCGGGTGGTCACTTTCCACTCATTGGACGCGGTGGCCGCGACGAGAGCTCCAAACCCTCCGACGCCGAACACCAGAGCTGAGATCTGCGCCCTGGACATGTCGCTGTGCCTTCTCCAGTGACGCGGTCCAGACAGAAGGCTTTGGTGGGCTAGGCATGCAGCGGGCAACTAGCGCCCGGACAGGTGTCACAGCAAGTTAACGCGCATAGGGGACAGCATTTCATGCTCAAATGGCCTGCAGGAGTGCGCAATTCAGGATGAAGTCTGGTTTACCAATGGCATTTTAAAGAGAGCCTAAGATGATCTTTCTAACTTCCTACACGGAGATTTACTAAAATTTCGTAGATGGATTTTAAAGGTTTCGGTTGTGCAGATTGTTCTTTCCTGGCACCATAGTTAATGCTTAATTTTCTGTTAGCCTGAAGCCTAACGAACCGTGCAACAGACAGATATGGCAAAGTACAAATTATACAGTAACAGTTAAGGCTTATTTGACCGATTGCTTTAGTCTCCAGGTTCTTCTGAATCTTTACACAAATGGAATCGTGTTGCAGGTATTCTATAACCTGCTTTCTTTTCACATGACATTACGCCTGGGAGATTTATCTGTGTTCAAAAATCTAGTTGTCGTTCATTAAACATTACAGCTGAAAGAGAGTCCTTCGCTGAAGGATATACTAGAATTTATCCATTTCCTGGGGGGTGAAACATTTGTGTTGCTTCTCCTCCACCCCTTGATAATAGTTGGAACAACTGTAAATGTTCTTGAGCACCTGCGCCAGAGTTTCTCCAGGGCAATTTTAGAACTGCCAGGAAGTAGGAAGGAAGGAGGAACTACTCTTTCAACTTTATAGATAATACTAAATTGCCCTACTGAGTAGTTCTAGCAGGTTACCACCCCATGACCTTGTTGCCTTACTTCATAATGCGGTATTGGGGTGTTCTCAGATTTGCTGGGGGAGGGTTTGGGGGGAGTGGGCTACTCTGATGAGTGTAAAGGTATCACACTATGATGACTATTTTGTATTTGCTGATTAATAATGAAGCTGAGCATATTATATATTTCTTGGTTCCTTGTGCTTTTGTCTACAAAGACATTTGTAGCTTTTGCTCATGTTATCCATTGAGTTGCTTGACTTTTTTTATTTTTTATTTTATTTTTTTGCTTGACTCTTTATAATTTATTTTTAGATATATATATAAAACGAACATTTATATATATATATACATATATATATCCTGGATTGTAATCTTTTTATTAAAAAACATTTTATTTCTTTATTTATTAGAAAGAAAGAGAGAGCAAGAGTACAAGGAGGCGGAGGGGCAGAGGGAGAGGGAAAAGCAGACTCCCCACTGAGCAGAGAGGCAGATGTCCAAACAGGATTCAACCCCAGGACCCTGAGACCATGTCCGGAGCCAAAGTCAGACACTTCACTGACTGAAACACTCAGGTGCCCCTGGATTGTAATCTTTTAAGGATTATTCATGTTGCAAATATCTTTCCCCTGTTTGTGGTTTGTCTTTATTTGGCTATTGGATAAAGACTCTGAATTTTAATGTAGTCAAATTTATCAGGCTTTTACCAAATGATTTGTACTTTTGAGATCTTGATTAAGAAATCTTCCTCAGGGATGCCTGGGTGGCTCAGTGGTTAAGCATCTGCCTTTGGCTCAGGGCGTGATCCCGGAGTGCTGGGATGGAGTCTCACATCGGGCTCCCAGTGTGGAGCTTGCTTCTCCCTCTGCCTATGTCCCTGCCTCTGTGTGTGTGTGTCTCTCATGAATAAATAGATAAAATCTTTAAAAAAAGAAATCCTCTGGGAGCCCAGGTGGCTCAGCGGTTTAGTGCCACCTTCAGCCCGAGGTGTGATCCTGGAGACCTGGGATCGAGTCCCACGTCAGGCTCCCTGCATGGAGCCTGCTTCTCCCTCTGCCTGTGTCTCTGCCTCTCTCTCTCTCTCTCTCTCTCTCTCTCTCTCTGTCTCTCATGAATAAATAAATAAATAAATCTTAAAAAAAAGAAATCCTCCTCAGAGATAATAAATACATAAATACATTACCCTCTACTCCTATTTCAAAGTTTCAGCTTTGACATTTAAGTTCTTAAATCATCCAGAATTGATTTTTCTGTTTTATGATTTGGGATCTATTTCATTTTTCATTATAAGAACCCAAGTTCTCTGAATATACTAAATGTTCCCTTGTTTCCTTATTGATTTGCAGTATCACTTCTATCATACCAGATATCAATATTTGCATGGTATGTTTATGGATTCTCTAATCTCTTCCATCTACCTGCTTGTCTGTTTCTGCACCCTTTCACTACTTTCTTAATTATTCTCATTTTCTAAATATTTCTTGAGATCGTGATGATTTTTCTTACTTTGGTCTTCTTTCTCAAGAGTGAGACTTTTTTTTTTTTTTTAGCTTTTTGCTCTTCCTTTCATGTTTTAGAATAAGTTTATCAAGTTATACATGTACATACTTACTGGGATGTTAGTTGAAGGAAAGTAAATAACTTTACAAAGTTGAATTTTCCTGCTAATGAGTATCATATGTCTCTTCATTTAACTATTTTTTAATATCTTTCAGTAAAATCATATACTTCAAGTCTTGTTACATTTTTTGCTAGATTTTTTTAAAGATTTTATTTGTAAGTAATCTCTATGCCCAGCACGGGGCTCAAACCTACAACCCCAAGATCAAGAGCCACTTGCTCTGCCAACTAAGCTAGTCAGGCACCCTATACTAGATTTATTCTTAAACTTAGGACTCATTCTAACATCCATTTTATCTAACTATGATTTTTCCAATTCCCTTCTTGTATATACAGTTGGCCCCTGAACAATGGTAATTAGGGATGCCATGAGGTCAAAAATCCACATAAAACTTTTGACTCCCCCAAAACTTAATAGCCTACTGCTAACCAGAAGCCTTACTGATAGAATAAATAGTTGATTAACACATATTTTATATGCTATATGTATCATATACTGTATTCTTACAATAAAGTAAGCCAGAGAAAAGAAAATATTATTAGTAAAATCAGGAGGAAGAGAAAATATTTACAATACTGCACTGTATTTATAAAAAAAAAAATCCACATGCAAGTGACCTGCTCAGTTCAAACCCTTGTTGTTCAAAGGTCAACTGTACATATTATCTTTCTTCTTTCTGCATTTTTTAAGTTGAGGCTTTTTTCCACATTTCAGTTTTTCTACTCAATTAGAAGTTATACATTATTTGTATTAATAGTTACTCTAGAAATTTTAGTGCATATTTAACTTAATAAAATCAATCATTGTCTTTACTCTCTTTCTGAATAATATACAGACCTCAAGATGCTTTAAGGTTAATAACTCCTCTTCTGGTGATGTTATTACTTTATTTCTGTGTTTGATTTTTCATCTCATAAATTAGAGTTTTATTTCCACAAATACTAGCCCCATGCTTGTTATCATTACTCTATACTGTCATTTTTCTTTTTTTGCTTGCTATTCCATTTTGCTTCTCAAAACTTCCTTGTGAGTTTATTATTTTTCTTCTTCCTAAGGTCTTTCCTTGGAAGGTTTCTTTATGAGGGGCTAGTTACCTGTCTTAGTTTTGTTTGTCAGATAATTATATCTGTTCTGTGCTTGCTTTTGGTGGATAATTTTCCTAGGTATACAGTTATAAGGTGACAATTATTTTGACCCCAAACTTGGAAGATATAGTACCATTTTCATCTGGTTTCCATTTTTTTTAAAGATGTTTCTTTTTCTTTTTTTAATTTTTATTTATTTATTCAGGAGACGAGAGAGAGAGAGGGAGAGAGAGAGAGAGAGAGAGAGGAGAGAGAGAGAGAGAGAGAGACAGAGACAGAGACACAGGCAGAGGGAGAAGCAGGCTCCATGCAGGGAGACCAAGATGGGATTTGATCCTGGGTCTCCAGGATCAGGCCCTGGGCTAAAGGCAGCATTAAACCACTGAGCCACCCGGGCTGCCCCAGGTTTCCATTTTTGCTGTAGAGATATCAAGAATTGGATTTTTCATTTCTTTATAGATTAATTCATGTTTCTTTTTGGCTGATTTTAAGATTTTCTTTGATTTTCACAGTTTTGCTTTGACTTTCTAAGTATGAATCTTTTTTGGTAATCTGTGGGACCTACTGAACTTCTTAAATCTAATGATTCATATCTTTCATCAATTCTGGAAAACTCTTGGTTGCATCCTTCTGCAGATGTTACCTCTGCCACTAATTCTTTATCTCCTTTCTTAACTCTGATAAGATTTATTTTTGTTTGTCCTGTTTCTTAATTTCTCTTTAATATTTTTAACCACCTTATCTCTCCAGGCTGCAAGTAATTTGCTGTTAACCCATCCAGAGGCTCTAATTTCTAATACAATCCTGAAAGTATCTATAGGGGCACCTGGCTGGTTCAGTGGTTGAGGGTCTGCCTTTGGCTCAGGACATGATCCCAGGGTCCTGGGATCAAGTTCTGCATCGGGCTCAATCGCAGGGAGCCTGCTTCTCCCTCTGCCTATAGCTTTGCCTCTCTGTGTGTGTCTCTCATGAATAAATAAAATATTTTTTAAAAATGTCTAGAGTTTCTATGTTATCTTTTTTTGTATCTTCCTGTTTCTTTTGTTAAATCTTTTGTTCTTTAGTCATAATTCAAATGCCCTACTTTGTTTCTTTTTTTTTTTTAAGATTTTTTTTTTCTTTATGAAAGACACAGAGAGGCAGAGACACAGGCAGAGGAAGAAGGAGGCTCCTCACAGGGAGCCTGATGTGGGACTCGATCCCCAGACCCAAGGATCACTCCCTGAGAGGAAGGCAGATGCTCAACCCCTGAGCCACCCAGGCATCCCACCGTAGTTTGTTTCTTAAGTATTAAAGGTAATTTATATTCTATATCTCATTATTCTCATATCTGCAGTTTTTGCAGGTTGACCTTTTTTTCTACTGACCCTCTCACTCGTGGTGGTTTGTTAAAACACGTGCTTTGTGATTGTAAACTCATGTTCCTGGCAACTTTCTCATGGAAATATTTTGAGGCCTGAGTTAGATATGTGTTCCCCCAGATAGAATTTATATTTGCTTCTGCCTTTGTTTAGGTGAGCTATCAACCCAGGACTACATTTTATCAACCCAGGACTACATAAATAAATATTTTATAAATAAATATTTATTATTGAGAGGGAGAGAGTACAAGTGGGGGAGAGGGACATAAGGAGACAAAGAGGGAGAAACAGACTCCCCACTAAACAGGGAGCCTGATGTGGGGCTCAATTCCAGGATCCCAGGATCATGACCTGAGTCTAAAGCAGACGCTTAACTGACTGAGCCACACAGGTGCCCCCAACCCAGGACTACTTTAAATTATCATCTTTTACTAGTCATCCAGTTAATGTGAATTCTAGCCCTACATCCAAGTGAATGTCAGCTTGTGGTTAGGAATTCTCAGGTAACTTCTGTTTGTCCCTGTACTCGGATCCAATGTTGAGACAGGACTTTCCCCTACCACGACCAAGGAGGGCAGTGATGGCGATGATGATGGGGGTGGTGAAACAGTGCTTTTTAATTTTCCCCTCTGCAGTTATTACTTTGGGGTGGGAACAACTTTATGCAAAGTTCTCTGATCCATACTACAGTGTTGCATAGCACTAGGATTCCCAGTTATGGTCAACTGGGAATTAAAATCTCGGTGACCAGGGATCCCTCAGGGTAGCCATTGGCCTCAAAGCTGGCTTACTTTTCTGTATTTGTGCTTTCTCTCCACATTTTTGGCCTCTAAAGATTTCCTTTGCTTTCTTACCAGCTCAAATCTGCATTCTAAAATATTTTTCAGGGACGCTTGGGTGGCTCAGCGGCTGAGAGTCTGCTTTGGCTCAGGCCGTGATCCAGGAGTCCCTGGGATCGAGTCGTGCTTGGGGCTCCCTGCATCCAGCCTGCTTCTCCCTCGGCCTGTGTGTCTGCCTCCCTCTCTCTGTGTCTCTCATAAATAAAGAAATAAAATATTTTAAAAAATATATTTTTCAAATATTTTTTCTAGCAACTGTAAGTGTTTTGTTTCAGGAAGGTTATATAGGAGATTTAATCCACTCTGTGCCAGGAATAAAGGTCACCAAATGTTACCAAGGAAATACTTGGTGTTGCTGCCTGAGAACCAGAGGCGGTCCTGCTGCGGCCACAGCTCTTTCAGCAGCCCGACAGTGTCCTCCCATTTAGTAGAGCAGCCACCACCCCCGCACAACAACAACTGTGAGGAAGGCGAACAGCCTTTGCCCCCGCCAGGCCAGCCGGGCTCAACAGTTCCTGGGTGGAGCTACCCATGAACGGCAGCAATGGCAATGGTAATGGCAATGGGGAAAATGGGGGGCTAGAACATGTACCTTCCTCATCCTCTGTCCACAATGGAGACATGGAGAAGATTCTTTTGGATGCGCAGCATGAATCAGGACAGAGTAGTTCAAGAGCCAGTTCTCAAAGATGGGCAGATTATGTTTGATGTGGAGAAGCACACCAGCAGGGACCATAGCTCTCAGTCAGAAGAAGCTGCAGAAGGAGAGAAAGAAGTTGATGCTTTGAAGAAAAGTGTAGACTGGGTGTCCGACTGGTCCAGTAGACCTGAAAACATTCCACCTAAGGAGTTCCACTTCAGACACCCCAAATGCTCCGACTCTTAAGCATGAGGAAAAGTGGGGCCATGAAGAAAGGGGGTATTTTGTCCGCAGAATCCTTACGGTGTTCATTCCGTCTCTCCAGCTCTCTCAGGTTTTGGCTTTGGGGTTAGGCATCTATATTGGAAAGCGACTGAGCACACCTTCTGCCAGCACCTACTGAAGGAACAGCCCTGGAAAAGCGTGTGACCCGTGAAGTGCTGTATTGTCACAGTAGTTTATTTGAACCTGAAACCATTGTAAGCAAGACTCAACCTACCACCCTATTTTTACATATCCAAGTTCCAGCAACTCTCAAATCCAGCATTTTATTCAAACTCTGTTGAGGCATTTTACTAACCTCATTCCCTTTTTGGCCTATAAGACACTTTAGAATTTCCTAACAGAGTTTACTGTTATTTAGAAATTTGCAAGGGCTTCTTTTCCACAAATGCCATCAGCAGATTATAATTTTGTCAACAATGCTATTGTCTCTTTTTAGTGCCACGAGACCTGCCTCATTCATGGTATAAATTTTACTCTTGCAAGATGGCTACCATCTCTCTCTTAAAATGAGATCAGGTTAGCAAATGATAGAACAGCTTTCTTGTTACTGTTTTTTTTTTTTTTCAAGACAAAGCAGGCTTCCCTAAGCTTGAATTTATAGTTATTTAAAAAGAAAACAAAATAAGACAAAGAAAAAAAATACCTGGGCAATAAAAAATTATTTTAAACAAAAAAAAAGGGGGGGAAATACTTATATTGAAAAATATCTCTAAAAATCAAATAATCTGGGGCACCTGGCTGGCTCAGTCAATAGAGCACGTGACTCTTGATCTCAGGATTGTGAGTTTGAGCCCCACGTTGGGCATAGAGATTACTTAAAAAAAAAAAAAAATCAAATAACCTGTCAGGAAAGAACAATAAATGAATCGATTCCAAATGAAAGGAATCCTGGAATTTCAGATTTGTGCAAATTTTGCTGTGCTACCTAATCTCAATTCATATTTAGCTTCTTTTGGAAATTAGCTACATATAGAAAGAGCTCCCTCTTGAAAAAAATAAGATAGTCTGATAAACTTCTCTTTCAGTACATATTTTTCTTCATCATACCGTGAGTTAAATTCCCAGAAAAGGTATGCCTGATCCTACAATTAAGATGAAAATCCAGGGGCGCCTGGGTGGCTCAGTGGTTTGGCACCTGCCTTTGGCCCAGGGTGTGATCCTGGAGTCCTGGGATCAGTCCCACATCGGGCTCCCTACAAGGAACCTGCTTCTCCCTCTGCCCGTGTCTCTGCCTCTCTGTGTTTCTCATGAATAAATAAATAAAATATTTAAAAAATAAATAAAAATAAAATACTTTTTTAAAAAAGATGAAAATCCAGCAATTTAAAATGAACCCCCTCCCCCCCAAAAAACCCCACCTATTTTCTTATAGCATTAAAATAAGATTTCGACTAGAGGGGCACCCAAGTGGCCCAGTCACTTAAGTGTCTGCCTTCAGCTCAGGTCATGGTCCTGGGGTCCTGGGATCTAGCCCCATGTTAGGCTCCCTGCTCAGCGGGAAGTCTGTTTCTCCCTCTCCCTCTGCTCCTCCCTCCAGCTCATGCTCTCATTCTCTCTCTCTCTCTCTCTCTCTGCTTGTTCTCTTTCTCAAATAAAATCTTAAAGATTTCAACTAGATTTCTTAAAACCTAGGAACATTAAGACCCACCTCTTTTGCCAAAATCTTGATTCCAGGGCTTAACCAAGGCACTGTAAAACATTCTTCTGAACAGCTAATAACTAGCAATAAAAAAATAAATAATTCTGGGACGTCTGGGTGGCTTAGCAGTTAGGCACGCCTGCCTTCAGCTCAGGGTGTGATCCTGGAGTACCGGGATCAGATCGAGTCCCACCCACATCAGGCTCCCTGCATGGAACCTGCTTGTGTCTCCCTCTGCCTCTCTCTTTCTGTCTCATGAACAAATCAATAAAATCTTTTAAAAAATTTAAATAATTCTGCCTATAAGTAGTTATTAGTCTCTTACTCTGTCTGCCAGAATTTTGTACACTTTGATTTCTTTTCACATGTAAATACATAGTGCAGTCTCCTTTTTGACATCAAGAATTACAGGATTAAAATCTGAGAAACAAAAGAGATATACCACCTGGACGAATCTGAAAGTGTTTTGAGCATAGGACCACTTTTTTACTTTAACGTCCCCTGGGGAGAAAGGAAGAAATTACTTTTCTGGAAAATTTCAACCAAATTTTGTTCACTATCCCATTGTCAGAATTACTAAGAGGGACGCCTGGGTAACTCAGTGGTTGAGTGTCTGCCTTTGGCTCAGGGCTTGATCCCAGAGTCCCTGAATCAAGTCCCACATTGGGCTTCCTGCAAGGAACCTGCTTCTCCCTCTGCCTATGTCTCTACTTGTCCCTCATGAATAAATAAATAAAATCTTAAAAAAAAAAAGAAAGAAATGCTAAGAGAAACCAAATTTTTAAATGTTCTTTGATCATTTTTAAAGCTTCCTGGAATTCAAAGGGTAATTGCAGGTGGGGTAGGGGAAGAATCCGCTGTAATTAATCTTAGAAAAATAAAAGGGGGAAGAATTAAGTCTGCAAAGGCAGAAACATTAGAAATAGCCAGTTTAAATCACAAAACAGCTGGAGGACTGTCAGAGTGTGGGGAACACAGCTGTGATTGAAAGGTGGGGAGGGGATGGAATCTGTGAGCTCTTCCAGGCTAATAAATTTTATGTCACAAACACCTCCTAACTAAGCTGGCTTGAGGATTACGACATAATACCTGTAGAGCACAGTGAAAGTGTTCAATAGACATCATCTATTGTTATAATGATTTTTCCTAGAAAAATGAGGATATTGAGATTAGGGTCACCAATCAACCCTTTTGGTTTGCCCAGACCATCTACATTTTACATTTTAGTACTGGATGCCTGGGACCCCCGGGAATCCCCTCAGCCCCGGGGGAACCAAATGGTCCCAGGTGGTCAGCTTTTATTGGGGTGGGGGAGGGTGGAAGAAATGGAATGAATTCCTATTTTTCACAATCACACCGTAATCTCCTGTTACAGGCCCGGCAAATTTCCTGTTTCAACCCTACTTGGCCTCACACAGCCACCTGCCTGCAAAAAGAAGTTGATTCCTGCGGGAGGAGCCTGGCAGGCACCTGGCCTACCTGCCCGGAGGCGTGTCCTCTGCACCACGCGGCGCCCCCTTGCTCTTCCAAGCTAGGATCCGGGCGTTCTTCCTCTCCTTCCTTCTTCCCTTTCTCCCTGTCTTCCTTCATCGTGTGTTTTCTTGTCTAGCTTTCTTTTGTTTTGTTTTTTTTTAAAGAGTTTATTTATTTATTCATGAGAGACACAGAGAGAGAGAGGCAGAGACACAGGAGGAGGGAGAAGCAGGCCCCATGCAGGGAGCCCCATGCGGGACTCGATCCCGGGACCCCAGGATCACGCCCTGGGCCGAAGGCAGAGGCTCAACCACTGAGCCCCCAGGCGTCCCTCTTGTCCAGCTTTCAATTCTGATTTTCGGTGCAGAAGGCTGGACTAGCCCTATGCCTCCTTCAGATGTGTCATCCTCTCTGCCTTGTATGAAGCTGCTTTCTTGCTGAATAAGTTCTTGTTTTTAAATCCCCATTCCTCATTTCTATGACTTGGGAGTTTCTATGGGTCCCTGCATCCCACCAAAACAGCATTATTGCAACTTCTACACTGTTGTCAGATTCGTGGGTGTAAAATGAGATACCACTGCTTCTGTTTGCATTTATCTGGAAACATGGAGCACCCCTTGCATGCTTTTAACTTTTTGTTTGTTTCTTCCCTCTTTTGACTTTACCCATTTTTCCTTTAGGACTCCTATTGATTTGCAAGCATTCCTTGGACGCTAGAGAGTCGCCCCTTACCAGTTCTAGACATTTCATAGTTCTTCTCCTAACCTGGCACCCATTCACTTGGCCATGGTGTCCTTGGGAGACCAGCAGCCTCACAATTTTAATGAGGATCACATTCCTCTATATTCTATGCTTTTCCAATTCTTAAGGAATCCTCTCCTGCCGTAGGAGAGCAGGATGTTCTCTGCTGTATTCTTTTGCAGTCCATAAACTCTGGTTCACAATTCTGAAATCCAATAATCCAGTTTCACAAATTAGCATTGTATCAGTCAGCTGGAAACAGATGGCTCACTCACATGGGGTGATTTGAGGAACCTTTAAGGGACTTAACTGCCCTGTGCATCGTAGGATGTTTATCAGTGGCCCTGCTCTCCGCTGCATGTCCCCCAACAGTCATCACAACCCAGAGTGTCCCCAGACATTGACACGTTGTTCCCAGGTGAGAACCACTAGTGTAGAGAGCCCAAGTGAGACAGTCCAGTGCCCTTGGCTAGTACCAGCCTGACGGCCATTCCCCAAAAGTCAGAAGAGGTAAGAGGAAGAGCATGGTTCCGGAAACCAGGTGACATAGGAGTGCTGTGGGGAAGCAGTCTTACCAGAGCTGGGGCCTTGGGAGAGGGGGCGATGCAGCCAGAGCTAGCCTGGGAAACCCTGCTGGGACGAGCCACAGACCTCCTCCTTTCCTTCCTCACCATCTTCTTTCTGCCAGAGGGCAAGGGAGCCTGTTGTGAGATCCCAAGAGGCTGCCTTCAGGGCAGAGAGCAACATGGAGATGGAAAAAAAGTGGACCTAGATACTCAGCACAGCCCCCAAATATATTTGGTGGCAAGATGCTACCAGAACCAAACTGAATCTGTTTTGGTCTTTCTATGATTTGCCAAAGAAATACTGAAATGTTTGATTATGGGATGCTACCCTAGATCCAGTTGGGGGTATTATGCAATATATACAGTATATATACTATCTTACCCTTTTAAATCTGAAAAAGGGAGTGCCTGGGTGGCTCAGTCAGTTGGGCATCTGATCCCAGTGTCCTGGGATCCAGCCCCACTCCCTGCTTAGCAGGGAGTCTGCTTCTCCCTCTCTCTCTGCCACCACCACCCCTTGTGCACACATGCTATCTCTTTCTCAAATAAATAAAATATTTTAAAATAAATTCTCAAAAAGTTTGAATTCCAAAACACATTTGGCTATGTGCATTTCAAATACAGAATTGTGGAAATGCACCTTTCATAGATAAGTCAAATTTATCAGGAGTCTTTCGTGTGATTTAGGGTAAGCATCTAGTTTTATTTGTCCCATATAATGAGCCAGTTCCCCCCCCACAGCACCTGCTAAACAATCCCACCTTTTTTCCTTTTATTGTGACTTTCATCCTGTACATATGCGCCTATTTCTCTATTCCAACTTACTGATCCATTTGTGTATTCTTCTGTTAGTACAGAAGAATATTATTTTCTATTTTTATTACTTCTACCTCTAGATATATCCTAACATCTGTAGGAAAGTCCTCTTCTCTCTCTCTCTTAATGGGAAGTAATTTTTATTGTTTTATCAGGAAGACTTTGTATATACATATAATTTTTATTTTTTTAAGATTTTATTTATTTATTAGAGACACAGAGAGAGAGAGAGGCAGAGACACAGGCAGAGGGAGAAGCAGGCTCCATGCAAGGAGCCTGATGTGGGACTTGATCCCGGGACTCCAGGATCACGCCCTGGGCCCAAGGCAGGTGTTCAATCTCTGAGCCACCCAGGGGTCTCTGATAGAAATTTTATTAAAGCCAGATACCATATATGGGGGCAGGGAGGGGTTGGAAAAATTCTTAAAAAGCTACCTTCAATAAAGCATCTTGGAGCATATCAATCCTTTATTTTTTTAGGATTTTATTTATTTATTGGAGAGAAGAGAGAGAATGCAAGCACAAGTGGAGGAGGGGCAGAGGGAGAAGCAGACTCCCCACTGAGCAAGGAGCCCAATGGGGCTCAATCTCAGGACCCCTGGGATCAAGACCCGAGCTGAAGGCGGACACTTAACCACCCTGAGCCACCTAGGCACCCCTGAGCACATCAGTTCTATTAAAACATGGTAAATTGTATATTATAAAAAGTCTTTGATATGAAACACACAAGCTCATACCTTAAATTTTTCAATCTTCAGGTGGAACCTATGGCCTCTCTTGGGTTCCTGAAGACATAAAATTGCTTCAAAATATAGCAGATCAAACATCACACACATCTGTGTGAGGAGTGAAAGTAGGCTTAAGAGTAATGAAAACTAGGAGCACCTGGATGGCTGTTAGTTAAGCCATCCAGATGCTCCTCCCCCATGCCTGCCCTCACTTTCTCAGGCTCACACACACTCTCTTAAATAAATAAAAAATCTTACAAGAAAGGGACCTGAATCTACATGATTCCCAGTATTTTGTCGTGCTTTTCCCCCTCATTTTAAAAAAATATTCGCTTTCATACCTAATTTCTTCAAGAAAGCTCTCAAAACTATATAAACCTTGATTCAGGTGGACCTTGGTTTTCCTACATATTTTGGAAGTTTATCAATTCTTCACAACATCATAATGCAATAAAATTTTAGTGTTCTTAGGCATCAATAAGATAAAGGAGACTATGCAAATAGAAAGAAAGTAGATCTCTAGACATATACTTTCATTTTTAGGTCTTGAATTACCTGGAAAAAAATATTCCCTATTTAGACTTAGGTAAAAATCAACCTCTTAAACCCTTTGGTCAAGATATCACCCCTGGGGCATTCCGATGGCTCAGCTGCTGAGCGCTGCCTTCCGCCCAGGGCATGATCCTGGAGACCCGGGATCAAGCCCCACGTCAGGCTCCCTGCATGGAGCCTGCTTCTCCCTCTCCCTCTGCCTCTGCCTCTGTCTGTGCCCCTTTCTCTCTGTGTGTTTCTCATGAATAAATAAATTTTTAAAAATTAATAAAAAAAAAAAAAGATATCACCCACACTAGGTATTCTTAAGAAGTCTGACTGAGGGCAGCCCGGTGGCGCAGCGGTTTGGCGCCGCCTGCAGCCTGAGATGTGATCCTGGGGATCCGGGATCGAGTCCGGCATCGGGCTCCTTGTAGGGAGCCTGCTTCTCCCTCTGCCTGTGTCTCTGCCTCTCTCTGTGTGTGTCTCTGATGAATAAATAAATAAAATCTTTAAAAAAAAAAAAAAAAAGAAGTCTGACTGAGAAATAGTGAGATGCTGATAAGCTGACACCGGGCAGATAAGGGTATTAAAGAGGTGTTTTCCATGTTCCTATGTATACCTTAATGAAAGTCGTGATGAACAATAACTATATTTCTTGTTCTGTGTCACTGAAAAGTATCTAAAATCAAGAGGATATGTCCCACATCTGTTTCTCTGCTATTATACTAATGTAATCACAAGCCATGATTATAGTTTTATTACAGGAAATCATAAAATGTATTGTCTTGCCAAATGTGTTTTCACTTTGCCACCCTCACTTTATTTTTTTAAGATTTTATTTAATTATTTGACAGAGAGAGAGCACAAGCAGACGGAGTGGCAGGCAGAGGAAGAGGGAGAAGCAGGCTCCCTGACCAGCAAGGAGCCCAAAGTGGGGCTCCCCAAGGCAATCACAGATGCTTAACAGACTGAGCCACCCAAGTGCCTCACTACCCTCGTTTTAAAGTGGCTTTCAAGCAACTGTAATGGACCCATTCTAGGTGGTAGATTGAATGGACATCTGCTAAAGCAATCAGTGCCTGGATAAATTAACAAAGCAACCTGACCTAGGATCATGGTGGTATATTTAAAAAAAAAAAAAAAGTGTTATTGGGATGCCTGGGTGGCTCAGCGGTTGAGCGTCTGCCATTGGCCCAGAGCAGAGCGTGATCCTGGAGACCCGGGATCGAATCTCACGTGGGGCTCTCTGCATGGAGCCTGCTTCTCCCTCTGCCTGTGTCTCTGCCTCTCTCCTCTCTCTCCTCTCTGTGTATTCTCATGAATAAATAAATAAAATCTTTAAAAAGTGCTACTGAATTGTCACTGCATTCGGTAAGTCTGATGCATGGTACACACATAGAGAAAGAGCCAGATTTATAGATCTGAACCGAGTTTATCAAACAGCCAATGTCTTTGCTCAGCCCTCCCTACTTTCAAATTGTTCAGTTGCCACCATGAGTAGTGACTCGAGCTGCTTGATCTGGCTTTTCCCCAGGACAGAAAGACTCAAGCCTTTCTACTCGTAAACAAATAAACAAAATCAGGAGTTGTTCTAAGCATTCTAGTTTGCCAAAAGTCAGGGAAGATCCTTCATTAGGTCTGGACAAGCATGAGCTGTGCTGGTTCTCTTGTGTTCGATGTTGCCCAAATCTGCCCTGGAATGCACAGTATGGAGACCCTTTGGGTACA